GTGAATACAAGTCAATTTCTCATAGAAATACCTTCTCAAAGGCATCCTTTTACCTAAGGTACATAGCTCCTACTGTAGTTACCTTGTTTTGTGTAACTTAGCATAGCCGTCAAAACCTTAATAATTTTAATACAAAATAACAAAAAATTTTTTTCCTACCATATTACCATAACAAATTTCAAAGGATGCACAAAACTGTATCAACCATGTGTATGTGCATATAACAATTCTTCAGTTTTTAATAAATCAGCAGCATCACCATTTTTTATATGTTTTTTTTCCCTTTTTTTTGTGTGTGTATTTATCCAAGTTACAATGATGTTTATAACTCATTTTTATTTTTATAAAAAATCATTTATATTTTAACAAATCATACTTTTTTAAATGTGAAATTAATTTTAAAATATGCACTTGTGGAATTTGTCTGCAATGGATGAAATAGTGGTGTGAATAAAATTCTGAAAAATAAAGCTATATCAAATTATTAAGTTACAGAAGAATGGAATTTGCTATGTTAGTTGAATTTAAATTACCCGGAATCTTTCTCCCTTCGCTGTTGCTATACCACCAAAAGAAAGCCAATTATGAACAGCATCCTGCAAACAAAAACTTGCTTGTAACAAGGTTTATTGATTGATTGGTACAGACTTTAATGGCATATTTGTTACCAAATGAATCTAAAGCAAACCAGTATGAAGGGTAGTTTTACAGGTTAACTTGTTTTCAAATTAGCAACTCTGTAAAAGGGATCATCCAGCTGTACTGACACTGCATGTTCTTTCTCACATAGCTTGTTATTTGGTTGTAACAGGCAGTTAAGATAAAAACACTTGTAACACTGCTTAATTTTTATGTATGGTAGCCCAGTTACATGACTATAACATTTTTCCACTACTTTTTTTACACTGTAATCTTGGTTTAGAAAGTTATTTACCAAGATTTTGGGATATCGTATAGGAATATCATGTGGAACAACTACAGCCAAATGTATTGTTTCAGAAGAGAGTATATACTCTTACTGAATCTTTTCCTGCACTTATTGTTTGATTTGATACTTCCTGTATAGTGGAATGACCATCATGACAACATAGCGTCCTGTAACTCTTTCTATATAATTCCATTCAGATATTCACACTTTTATTTTTGTAAGTTAATGCAGAAGACAATACATATTTACATCTATTTCTGATACTTCCAATTTTAAGGAATAATCATAGAGTCTATACTGTTACATAGAAGATGCTAAAAAAGTACTTAACAGGGAGTTTAACATTATTCATGCAACAAAGGAGCTGAAGTTTATTGCATTTTTAACAATATGTTAAAACTCATACAAGCATTTATTTCTTTTATTATAGATGTAAATCAATGACCAGTTCCTAAAGTATTAAAAGATAAAAGTCAAGGAAAAAATTCTCGGTTCATAGTGCCAAAGTATTTTGTTAATATTGATAAAATTCAATTAAAAAAAGATTACTCATGTTATGATGTAGAATTGATGCTAAAATTCTATATTAGAAACACGTATCGATTAATTGTGTTAGGTAGAATTAATAAACAGTCGGGCGGAAATTTATTAAATGCATAAAACATAACAAAAGCCAGGGTTGTATTTATTCCTCCATTTAAAAAATTGTGGCTTTTCTATCCAACTGTCTTCAAATCTGTAAATTCAGAAAAAACTCTAAAATTGTAATTTTTTAGAGAGAAGCATTTCCATCCTCAAAAAAATAAATGTTAAAAAAGAATTGAAATACAAAATTTGTGCATTTTATGCAGAAAGTGAAAAGAAAATCATTATTTCATTATAATGTTAATCATAAAAACAGATCTGCTTAATATTTTTTGTAACAAAAACTTAAAATAAAAAAATATTTTTATTCTATTGCATGTCCAGTGATATTAAAAATAGTTTTAAATTTTGATTTTAACTTGAAGATGCCCGAGAGGAGTTGCACGATATCTAAAATTTCTCTGAAACTTAGTTTGAAAACCTTCAAACTACTTGAAAACTTCAAATTATGTGAAAAAAGAAATGTAGATGTAAACAGCAGTGATTAAAAAGTTTTAATGACCAAAATATTTTCACTCCATCAGATTATTTGTTTATTTTGAAGAAGACATTGTAGAGACATTAGGATTTTTTTTTGGAAGCTGAGAGATGTGAAAACGAGCAATGCGCTCTCCGCGACTAAAAACCATGGACCTCTCGAATATGTGCCGAGGCATGCTACGAAGGCAGGAGAAATACCTTATAAAAAAATTCGATAATGAGATAACAAGTAGAAGATAAGAATTTTTTTCTTCTGGAAAATTAATAAAAAAAATTCATATTGCATATATACAAGCCTATACCATAAATTATAAGATATATAAAATTCTTGGATTATCTAATGGGGGGAAGTAATAAATGTAAATATTAATATATAAGAAGTAATAAATGTAAATATTTCAATAAATGAATAGATAAAAAATGGCCTTAAACAACCTCAAGTTTAAATTACTTAGAGAAATTAATGCCAACAAAAACATTATTATTGAAACAAATGTAGATAAATACAAATTGCCTAATGTATTTAATTTGAATATCTGTTTTGGAATGAAAGGTGTAAACAGCCTTTAATGTGATTAATAACTCAGATTTGTAATGCATATATTTTTATTTCCAATGGTAGGCAAAAGTATATATATATATATATGTACACACTATCAAATACACATACACAAAAGTATATCACACACTAAATAACAAACAGAGAATAAGGAAGCCTATTTAGTGCTTGAACATACTATTTAGTGCCTTCCAGTAACATCCACAGAGATCCTGTACAAAAAAAGCCATGCATTTCGCAGGTGGTGGAGGTTGTATCTTGGGCCTTTATTACAAAGGATAATCACAGAATTTTCAAATAGAAAGGTTTCACTGAATAATGACCGGGTAAAAGATAAGTTATTATGATGGAATTAGCCTTTGGGTATCGAAAATGGACATGTAGTTGAAGAACGAAAGCTTGCTTTAAATTACAGAGATTTCTAATACATTAATTTAATATATTTAAAAAAATATTTTAATAATATGATACTTTTCTAATACATTTATTTTATTATCCAAAGTTATTTTCTAATTAACAGAAAGGTACGGCGTAAGTTTCAGTGATCAATTATCAGAAAGGCTTCTTCTGAATGGTTTAATAATAATAATACAAGGAAATAAGATTATTTTACACATGCCTTATGGCATAAGAAAAGGAACTTTTGAAATATAATAAAACTAAAAAGATTTACATATACCATAGAAATGAGTTTTTTAACTCTAAACAAAATTACTGGTTATCGTTTCAAAAAACAAATTCAATACTTGCCCATAGTAAGACCAACTTGTGAAAGATTTTTTGCCAAACTACAAATCATTGCGTAAGGAAGAAAATTTCCAAAAGCCATTTCGAAATTTTTAATAATATGACTAATAATCATAAGATACTACTTTTTGATCCATAACATGGGTTGTTTAAACTAACTAAGAAAAAACTTTAAATTGCATCAGTATTATAACGAGCTAATAAATTTTAAATCACAAAATACAGTGAACCATATGTAAGACAGCCAGACACAGCTGCTATAAAAATATTTCTACGAAAGTGGTTGTCTTAGGGAGGGGATAATTGATGCCAATGTTGTTAAATTACCACTTTTGTCGTCCTGGTACAGATTTCTGTCTATACATTTTGAATCTGAAATAATGCATTCAGCACGGCATGCACACTGGGTGTAAGGAAAGAGAAGCAACAGAAAGAAACTGGAGAGTATGGTTAAATGATAAAACCAAATCCTTAATACCACTATTGACAGAAAGAGACTAAAATGCAAATAAGAAGCAAATTTCCTTAAAAGCTAACAATGAAGAAGGATTAAAATTAGAATCAATGGTTAAAACCATGGGATTTTTATTGATATAAAACATCAAATGCCAAATGAAGTGGTGTCTCCCCCCCCCAGTATAATTTTTCGATGTGGAGAAATGGAAAACATGATTTTTTTTTTTTTAACTAGCAATCGTAGGCAATGCAGAATTTATTAATTTTTCTTTGAACATAATTTTGTGTTGTTCAGTACAAAATTTAGGTCACGCATCTCTGCTGTTTGGGGGAAACTTAAAAAAGAACTCTGTGAACATAATTAAAAAAAAAAAAAAAAAAAAAAAAAAATACGGGTCACTAAAATAAATAAAAATTCAGATTCTTTTCTTGTGTTCTAACATATGTAATTATTACTTCAGTAGATTCTAATATTTATTTTATAATCATACTACCTAGGCTACAATACAGACATATATAAATTTTCACTATTTTTTACTGTCATTACATGCACAATTGCTGTTTTTTATTAACAAGAGAATTGGACAAAGCATATCAATACTTTTGTATTAGCAATATGAGTAAGTTTTTGTTTATTAAGACTTTTAAAGTTCTCAAGATGAATTCATTCGAATAATGCAAATAATTGACTGTAGCATAGAGATTTATTCATATTGCGTCCACTCTCGTATACAGCAAGGAAAAAAAAAATTAAATATGAAGAGTGGTCCTTATCAATTCCGCAAGATTTTCCATATACAATCTTACCACAATTCCACATAAAACGTAAACAAAGTATCGAAGCTTCGTAATCGATTACAAAGCGCAAAGCTATCAGCTATTTGTCATCGATGGGGAAAGGAAAGTCTGGGCCATCCGAAAAAGCGGCGACCGAGGCAAGGTTTGTCCCTGTCGTTGGCTTGGGCTTTGGGAACTTTATATGCGCATAAAATAATCAGCATGGTAAAACACTAAAAAATATCGCATTTAAAATAATAATGAACTAATGAATTTTTCACTTATAATATATGTATATAGAGAAAGATAATATTAATTTTGTGAGAACGTTCCGATTAATATCAGGATGGAATAAAACAAATTATCAATTTTTTAAAATATTACGCTTGTAATCAAATTTAATCTTACCAGGCGAAGTTCACCTCGGCAAAATATTGCTGTCAAATTATCATTGGCCATTTGAAATCTTCTTTACAGTACTTGACGGAAAGGATTTTTGTGTGAATGGCAATGAATGCTTTTAAGCATAAAAGAAACCATCGTCTGTAACTGATAACAAGGACAATGGAAACTCCTTATCAGGTGATAATACCGGTACTAATCATATCATGCCATTATTCTATTTAGAGGATACTTTATTAAAATGAATAAAAAAATTCATAAGAAATTTAATGAAGGAATTTACATTAAAATACTTTGTTTTTGGAAATTCTTTTATATCTATATTTTCTATATCTATATCTACATATATATTTATATCCGCTGAATTTTATTCTAAAATAAAACCCTTTATTAACTGCTATTAAACTGTGCCGTCATAATATACACAGGGTAGACTAGAAGAGAAACACTCTAATGTGACAATCAAAATCGTAAAAACAACCTTGTATTTAGCATAAGTATATTGAAACACTCAATCGATTTTGAGGGCAGCTAAAGGTCCCTCCTCATCAGGAGAAAGAAATACCCAGAAAGAAGAAAAGTAAAGGGGAAGGAGTCTCAGAAACACGTGGTCCTTATCAGCACTGCACGTGCTTATAACCGGATTTTTATTCAGAGTTACACTGGCCGCCTACTTTTATTGAGCCAGGCTATCTGATCACACATGTAACACAAAGTACAAGAAAATTAGCGAAGTTCAAAATAGGGAGCGAGGGGCAAATGCACCTTCACACTCAAAATCTGAACTTCGAATAATGGAAAACAACCACTGAACGGATTTTTATACCCTCTGGTAGTACCAAACGCGAGGAGGTAACGCCATCTATCGGCAAAAATAGTAACTGAATTAAGATAGTAGAATCTTAAAGGCATTAGGAAGGACAGGATTGGACTTAAAATCATTAACTAAACATGCTAAATCTTTGTGTATATCAAAAGCCTCAAGAAAATCCAATTTACCTATGGAAGAAGCCTTTTGGATAATTTTTGCAGACCCAAAGTCAAATTATGGTTAAATGTCCAACTATGATACGCTATTGGAGACTTGTTAATTTCGCCTTTTCTGACATAAGATTCATGTTCCTTGATACGAAACCTCTTTTTTTTTTGTTTGGCCAATATATCTTAAACCACACTGACACGATATACTATTAATTCCCCAAGAATTCAAAACAGAAACGCAATCTTTTAGAATCGAAGGGGGAATTTTATTAATAGGGGAGAAACCGACTTGAAAATTATTTATTATTTGATAAACTATCTTTTCGTCTTTGGATTCGGTATGTAGACGACACTTTCGCGCTTTTTGACGGTTATAAAGAGGATTTATCCGAGATTCTATCTATTATGAATTCAATTGATCCAGCCATCCAGTTCACTCTTGAAATTGAATCCAACAATTCCCTCCCTTTCCTTGATATTCTTATAATCCGCAATGAAACTGACTTTAGCAGTATTGTGTACTGTAAACCCTTTGCTGTTTGTTTACCACCCCATGCCAAGTCGTGCCACCCTGTTTAAGCAAAAAATGGCTTCTTTTTACTATTATGTATTCAGCGCGCTTAAAGTTTGTTCCTCTGAATCTTTGCTTACCAATGAACTTAATTATTTGAGAGCAGTTGATATTGACCGTGGATTTTCTCCCGTGATTATTGATAAAGCCGTTAAAAAATTTTCAGATTCCCATCAAAGAAGACATTCCACTGTTAGAAATAATATTAATGACCTTTCGTGCTTCCTATTTATCCTTCTGTTAGCTATAAAATTGCACGGATTCTTCAGAAATTTAATTTTCAAGTCGGTTTCTTCCCTATTAATAAAATTCACCCTTCGATTCTAAAAGATTGCGTTTCTGTTTTGAATTCTTGGGGAATTAATAGTATATCGTGTCAGTGTGGTTTAAGATATATTGGCCAAACAAAAAAAAAAGAGGTTTCGTATCAAGGAACATAAATCTTATGTCAGAAAAGGCGAAATTAACAAGTCTTCAATAGCGTATCATAGTTGGACATTTAACCATAATTTTGACTTTGGGTCTGCAAAAATTATCCAAAAGGCTTCTTCCATAGGTGAATTGCATTTCTTGAGGCTTTTCATATACGCAAAGATTTAGCATGTTTAGTTAATGATTTTAAGTCCAATCATGTCCATCCTAATACCTTTAAAATTCTACTATCTTAATTCAGTTACTATTTTTGCCGATAGATGGCGTTACCTCCTCGCGTTTGGTACTACCAGAAGATATAAAAATCCGTTCAGTGGTTGCTTTCGATTATTCTAAGTTCAGATTTTGAGCGTGAAGGTGCAGTTGCCTCTCGCTCCCTATTTCGAACTTCGCTAATTTTCTTGTACTTTGTGTTACATGTGTGATCAGATAGCCTGGCTCAGTAAAAGTAGGCGGCCAGTGTAACTCTGATTAAAAATCCGGTTGTAAACACGTGCAGTGCTGATAAGGACCACGTGTTTTTGAGACTCCTTCCCCTTCACTTTTCTTCTTTCTGGGTATTTCTTTCTCCTGATGAGGAGGGACCTTTAGCTGCTCTCGAAATCGATTGAGTGTTTGAATATACTTATGCTAAATACAACGTTGTTTTTACGATTTTGATACACATGGTGTCCCGTAAATGTTGCGACAAACCTTTGAGTGAGGTAGGACACATCATAAGGATTAAGAATTGCATAGGAACCCGTGCCCGGAAATGTCAGGGGTAAGTGTTAACAGAGGTAAAAGATGGGAAAGGAAACAAGAGAGTGATTAATTTGAAACATTTATTGTTGTCGTACACCAGTTGTGTTTATTGGACAACACAACTGGTATAATCGACTCGCTCGGTCATTAGGGAAGAAAGTGTGTTGGATACAGTGGAGAGTAATCCAAGGACCAGCATACGTGACATTGCCTCTCAATTAAGAATGTCTTTTACCAGTATTCAGTGTGTCTTGAGAGCCGAGTCCTACACCACCTTTCGTCTCCAAAGGGTTCAGTTACTGCTGGCAGGACTCCCCTGCGAAGCTGCTACAATCAAAGAAACCCCGGATGTGTTTGAACATGTCCGGCAATCAATGGTCCGTCGGTGTCTGGCATGTTTGGCGTCTGATGGTGCAAACTTCGAGCATCTATTGTAACCTTAGAGCTGTCGTACACCAATTTGCACCATCAGACGCCAAACATGCCAGACACCGACGGATCATTGATTGCCGGACATGTTCTAACACATCGGGGGTTTCTTTGATTGTAGCAGCTTCGCAGGGTAGTCCTGCCAGCAGTAACTGAACCCTTTGGAGACGAAAGGTGGTGTAGGACTCGGCTCTCAAGACACACTGAATACTGGTAAAAGACATTCTTAATTGAGAGGCAATGTCACGTATACTGGTCCTTGGATTACTCTCCACTGTATCCAACACACTTTCTTCCCTAATGACCGAGCGAGTCGATTATGGCCTGTCCTTACTTGTCCTGCCACTTCTTAATGACCCGTAGTCGTATACAAATTTTGATGCAGACGTGCAAACAATTTCTGGTGTGGTTGATGTCTGTCGGAGAAGCGTTCTTAATAAATGCGTGCAGCGGCTCGTCGATAACCCTCAGTTATTCAATATACTAAGTGCATGTCCGCAAGCTCTCCGTTCGTACTGCGTTCCGTTATCTTTGTACGGTACTTACCGTTCGAATGAGAGAATCCTCACTTTCTACTAGCACTTTCATGTACACAGCACAGCACCCCTGGCAGTGTACAATGACATTTCTGAGCATGGGTTCCTATGCAGTTCTTAATACTTATGATGTGCCTTACCTCCCCCAGAAGTTTGTCGCAACATTTACGGGAAACACTGTATATGAGGATTTTTAAGGTGTATTATACACACATACTAGAAGGTTTTTAAAACAAAGAAATTTTGCTGTTCTAATAGTAGAATGCCGCGTAATCCAGTACTAAATAAATTCAGGCGACATACTCGAATTGTTCTATTAGACTTGCTTTTATGAATTTAGTGATAACAAATTTCTCTTTGTATGAGTTCAAGAATTTTCATAATGTTTTTGATGGATATTATTCCATTTTCTTTACTGTTTTAATACAAAGGGGGAAATTTGCCCAGAAACACTATTAATTTCGTTTTAGAATTTTGCGTTGGCTCACTATAAATGTCGACTCAGTTTTCAAATTGTTGCCACCAAACATTATCGCCCTGTGTTATATTTAAAGAAATTAAATAATGAAGAATCTGCATAAATGTACTCGTATTTATGTTTCTCTCACTGTGATGAAACAACTGTATCTAGAGACATCAAATTTTGAATAACGTAATATTTCACCGAATATGAGCATCTAGAAGCCCTAATTTGGAATTTAAAATTTTTTAATCATCGATTTTATATTTTGTAACACTTAACGAATTTTTGATTAACAAACTCAACGATATCAAAGAGAGCAATGGCAAAACTATGCGGGGATAAAAAAAAATTTTCTCCAGCGTGCGAGATTGTGTAGCGGAAATTCTAAAGGTATGCTCATTTTAAAATTATTTTTCGATATTGCTGTTGAATTTAATTTTGTGGTTTAAGTGCAAAGAACGTTTAATAAATAAAGGTAACACAAAAAAGTTCCTTTGGGCGTAATGTAAAATCTGAAAGCTTTCAGATTAAAGACATTTTTTTAAGTATTTTTTTTTAAATCTAACACTATTTTTTAAGAATTTACATTATTGAGATCAAAAGTGCCTATACTGATATTATATTACTTCGTTTTAGTACAGTTTTATTCTTTTTCACCTTGATAATAATACATTTTTATTGCTTTTATCATACAAGTATTTAAAAGCAATTTTTGGATAATTTAGGAAATATTTCTCTCTCATGACTAGTCTTACTAGAGTAATGGACTTCTGCTTTCCTTTTTTATTGCATCATTACGGGTTTATGTTTACGGGTTTTACTTCCAAGTTTATCAAAAAGGCAACGCAGATCATATAACTGAACACCAATAGTTCGACACAGTCCCAAAAATTTAAAGAACAGGCCGGTTACATGGCCATTCTTGTACCGTTCTCCCTCCTAACGTTCAAATTGAATACGAGACAGGTTCTCTTAGAAAATCCCTCCACGAAGGTATCCCGTATAGATATTTAGCCTTAGTATGCTTTGTCATAATCCAAGTTATGAAATAAAAACAGATGTTTAAGTGTGCTTTTGCATTAAACCAGTATATCTAAATCCAAGGTTATCAGCTTAACTCTTAATTTAAGGTACCATTGAAAAGCGAGGAATTTAGTAGCAAAGTGAGCTTTATAAACATCATTGAATCATTAACAGGTGGGCGACAGCCATTGTGATTATAGGAAAAAGCTACTGACGTTACTCCATTTGTGAATTTGTACGACAGTAAGTAAATGTAAAACTAAATGTAAAATTTTTTTTCTCACCCTTTTTGATTTTGAAGTTATCTCGTTCTGTAATTTTTACATTTAGTTTTTACGCGATAGCTTTTACTTCTTTAGTATTGTTAGTTGTTGTTACACGATGTTACATTTTTGCTCAGGAACTACAGTGTCAGATGTATTTTTGCCATTAGCTTTTGAACATTCCTCTTCTTTATGCTGTAAATTTGCCTTACCAGGCTTCTTGTATAGTTCTTCCCCTCATAAATTAAGTATTTCTCTTATACTTGTTAACAGCGGACGCGTCGGGTGAATGGTCGGGTGGTGTTTTGTTACTAAATTTGGCGAGAAAGTCGCTAAACCATTTGGTGGCATTTTGGTCGGGTCCCTGTATAACTATAATGGATACTGTAATTAAATAACTGTAATTGATGCTATATGTAGCTGTAACCGTATAATGGCTGTCAGTAATTTTGAGAAGTGGAAGGCACTAGAAATCTCTCGGCGGCCAGGATTATATAAGCATCCGTCTCTCGGGGGACTATATAAGACGGTTGCCGTTTTATATAGCTCCGCCGTCTTATGTAGTCTCTCGGCGGACTATATAAGACGGCGGAGAGCATCAGTTTTTGAGTAGTTGTTGTTAGTTCGGAGCTGAATTCGGAGTACTGAGATATGTGTGATTGTTTCGCCTTTTAGATGCGCGCTACATTATGCTGTGTTTACCGTTTTTAGTAGTTTGAAGTGTAATTACTGATTGTACTTTGTGGTACTCTGAAGTACGAGTATTTTTGTGGAAAGTTCCGGAACTGTGAAGTGTTTCTTTTGGTAAAATGAATTTTATCAAACTATCATCGGTTTTATGTGCATTAAATATATTACGAACCTGTACGCATTCAACAATATATTAGAATTTTCGTAAACAAGACAACTAAAACTGGAGAAGATCTACTACATCAACACTCAACTTCATGTTTTCAGAAATCACAAGGCAGTACGCATCTTCTACGAAGTATTTAAAATATCGAGAGACCAAAGGCATGTTTGATAGCGATAAAGAAGAAAGCTAATTAGCATGGAAATAAATGAATGGAGGAATATTGAAAAATATTTCTCTTCCTCCTAATTTTTTTTCACATAGAGAGAGAGAGAAGGGGAAGAAAATGGGATGCGTATTCTAGCATGTTTCATTTTTTTATAACACTTCTTAGTTTTGAAATATTTTATTAAGAATCGATAAAATTCCATACACATTATCAATCACGGAAATAACCCAAATGATTATTCATTATATTATGGAAAGTAATACTGAATATTTTCTCTCTATGAACAGATCCATGGAGAAAATGAGAATTATTCTTATAACGCAATCTACCGCTTTTAGTTAATTATTTATTTTTCATATTGCGCCATTGAAAATTGGTTGTTATTTTATTACTTTCTTTTTTCCCATCATCTTATTGCACTTATGCTGTGTAGAATCTTTAGCTATAAAATCTTCTAAAAGCACGATTCAGTTGCTCGATTTTTTGTGCTTTCTGCACGAATAACAACGTTCTTTTGGTAATTTATTATTCGACGATTGTATTCTAATTGCCTCAGCTTCTTACTATAAGAAGGTCATTCGTCACTTATAACAACTGAGCCAGGTAACATTTATTGCTGAATTATGGGCAAAACGTTGCGGCGTCTCTTCGTTCGACGATGAAAACGTGCTTCGAGTTGATCAGTTCCACAAATATCCAGGGTTCTTCTGTTCGTTTACCATAGTTCGCCATCTAAGAAATAATTAGCTAATTAAAAGCAGTAAAGCGCTTACTACATCGATACCGAAGATTGTGTTCATAGTTTTTGTCTAATAAATACTTTTGCATTAAGCAATAATATAATTTCAGATGACCAGTTAGCAGTATAAGATACATTTTGGTTATTAACTTTTATTAAATTCTTTCTACATTCTTTTGTTCGGCTTTCCTGGCTTCGAGTGCATCGCCTTAGGAACCGAAGACTCCTAAATTTATAAGCTCCTGATTTAACCTCTCAAGAGATGGTAATCACTGAACACGCTTTTCTTTAAAAGGAATTTATCAGTAACTATCATTTTGATGAAATAAACGATTGAAAAATTATAAGGTAGAACTATTATTTAAATCTGCGAATAATATCTAAAACACGGAGAGTTTTTTTTGACCGTGATATGTCTATAAGTTTAATTTTGCTTAATTCACTACGAAACTTCTTTAATCTTTCAACCTGGTTTATATTATATACGCGTTATATATAAAACCATATCTCATTCTGTAGGGTTTTCCTCAGTTTGCATGGATTATTTTGAGCTTAGTATCTTTCCTGAACCTCTCATTTTCTCTTCGCATTTCCTCGCCAGAATGCAAATTTAAAGTGAAAAGAATATGAAAGCAGACGAAACTAGATGTTTATTCAGAACGTTATTTCGCTATCCAGGAGACGTTACTATTTTGTCCTTGCTGCTGTTACGCTGAGTTGTCGATACGCCTTTTGGCCGCTTAATAAGTCTATCGCCGAGTAGGTTGTTGAGTCAGCCCGGTTAGCCTTAAACTAAATTGTTAGTCTAGCACTACTACTTATCTTTGAAGTTATTGTTAAATTAGTCTTAAGTTCCCACCGCAGGTCGTCAGTGTTATTGTAAGCTTGAAGTATGTGCATTGGTGTTAAGAGTTTGAAGAATAAAGTTTGATATATATTTTACCCTTCTCCTGCTCTCGTATTATTCACGCGTGTGCGAGAAATTACCAGGTTTCCTCGTAGGATCACGTTAACTGTGTGATAGCAATGAAAGTTAGATCTTGCAAGTCTGCAAAAGAACGGTGGCGAGCAAGCTGGATTTAAGTAGATATATATGATAAGAGGCTAATTAGTTATCTGTAACAAATTAACGAAATATATATTGTAGATTAGTTCGCAGCAATAATTAATCATTTATTTGTTTGCAATTAAATTTCATTATTTAAAATTGAATTAACTTTAAATTTGCTTTTTACGAATAGAGAATGTTTGTTAAATTGAAATTAACGAAATATATATTTTAAATAAAAAAATGTAAAATTTTTATCAGCTGAGTTATACCTTAAGTCGTTTAAAAACTGTTCTTTGATTTAAGATCTCAGTATTTTATAGCTGTGATAGCAACTGGACGGAATTTGTCGGATAATGAAACAGAACAAACTTCTGAATCTCTTGCAGAGTACCTCAAACCTGAACGTCACCCAACGAAGAAACTCTTTATTCTCAATCCACTTGCACCAAAAGCCATTGAAAAAAATCTTCTCATTTTTTTTTTTCACCAGAATTTGAACTGAAGTGTCCTGCGTTGAAGCAGAGCTTTCTAAGTCTCGAATAACCCTAAAATTCCAGCTAGTAATAAGCTATGTAATCCGTCTGAAACCTAAATGATAACGGAGTCATACGTTGTGTTTACTCTGAAAACATAAATGCTGGATGTAGAGTAGTTTGTACAAGTTTATTGTGTATAAATATTGTTTTATAACTGCCATTTTATACAGTGTAGTTCAGATAGTTAAACTGTTTTTGAAAAACGAACTCAATTCAGAAATTATTTTCCAAAATGTCATTCTTTTTTCGCTTCAACCAAGAAGTGCCCAATTATTTTAGGATAGATGATGGATTTAAAAGAACATAACCTAAAAAGGCCATAATGAACCAAACACCTGTTAAATATATTCTAACTCGTTTAATAACGGAACAAAGTTATAAAAGCAATTAAAATAACATGTTGATAAGCACTTCTGAACGTTGTTGGGAGTTTTGAATAGATATTAATAAGTATTTAATATCTTAGCTTTTAAAATGATTGCGGATTAAAAATGAAGTTCAGCTAAAATGATAGGTATATTTAATGCTAAAGAATGGTAATAGCACTTTTTAATTTCGGACTCTGAACTTTATGAACATTTGCTCTAAATGTGCCTGGTTCCCATTGGCCTATTTAGAATGGGTCTAAAACTGCAATTCTGAAAGGACATTAGAGCGTTTTACTGTGATAGTATTAATAATTTTAATGAAGTCGGTGCAAAAATAGATACATTATTTGTTTATTCTAAAACATATTATTATCATACCAAAGTAAAGCTTACATGAATAATTTTCATAAATTATTTAATAATTAAGGGGAGGTTGACTGTATTAAAAGAATTTAACAAACATTAAATAAAATTTAATGTTTAGAAATTTAGAAAGCATCATTAATAATAATGTGGATAGAAAAATGTCTCACTTCTCATTTATAGTCATAACATTTGCATGCATCTACATTCATACAATCTTTGTGTAAATTTAAGATAGTTATGAATTACTACAAAAAGATTTATAATCACAAAAACTATTTTATTAAAATTAAATTATCAATTCATCTATGTTTTCAGACGAACATTTATAAAGCTTGTTTATTTTTTTAATGTCATTGACATTCAGCGTTTTCTTTTTTGGTGACTCCAGAATAACACCTTCTTTCTTAGGACTCATTGTCTTGAGCCCCCTCTTCTTATCTTTGCTGAAAGTTAAAGGTCCATAATGCATAATGGAGCCGTAATCGTATGGCCCCAGAAGAATATTTTGCTGGGGTTTCAGCTTCTCGAAATTATTTTCTCTCCCTGGAACAAAAATTGCATTTAATTTTATGATATCAAGTTTTAAATTTTTAATTCCAACTGTCTTTAAAAGAGCTGAAATGTAATTTTGTAATATAAAGCTCATTAGGTGTTTTTTATAAACATAAATTTCTCATAATACTTTTTGAATTAGATTATGAACTGTAATGCAACCGAAAGTAAATTTTTATTTGTAATCTTTAACCTTATACACGAAATTTAGGAAGTCCTGGACTGTTGCAGTTGTTATTTAAAACGTGATTTTAGTTTTCAGAATTTACTCATTAACAAAAGTATTGAGATAAAATTTAACTTAATGAAGGAAAACAGTTTGAGCAAAATCTTTTTTAATGTTATATTAAAATTAAATTTTCCGTACCATGCTGAAGTAAAGACATTAATTATATAATGAACAAATGGCGTATAGTTTTAAAAATGGTCAAAATTCAACAGTTTGACATTTCATTAATTTTCAAGGCAATGTTTCATTATATATTATATTATTATATTGCAATATTATATTATTATATTGCTAGAGATAATGGTTGGGACATAATTTAATAGCAGTAAATTACTCTGTATCTTCTGTGACAATTTAAGTCATCAAAATATTGATATTTCGATTTCAGAAATTCACAGAATATATTGAAGATCAGTTACGGCTCTTATTTACATACAAATTTAGTACATGTTATATACAAATTTATTTACATTCATATATACATTTACATACAAATTTAGATTAAAATTTAGTTTATACTAGTTAATTACAGCTCAGTAAATAGATTATCGTTTTTTAAAAAATTTGAACAATGGAAATTAATTCTGAATATGTGATTTATGCTGCCATTTGTAGCGTAGAAACTTCTCTTCTGTCATTGCATAATTATAAATTCAAAAACTAATTAAAGATAAAATATTTAAATCCTCATTTTCAGAGCTAAATAAACAAAAATATGCCAACAATGAGGAATAACAGTACGTAATAATGTACTTAAGAGGAATAAAAATTATTTTATACACCTAAACTTTAATTCAGTCTCGTAAACGCAAAGGACATACGGTATATCATTTTATGCAAACCAGAATAGGTATGAAATTGAAGGAAACAAGGTAAGAACAAAATGCAGATTTATACGATAAAACATGCGATTAAAAATAAAAAAACGAGCCGCTGAAGAGATATATTGTTACGGAATGTCCAGTTGCGGTAAGATGGCTTCCCCGCAAGGCTGGTTTAGGGTTTCCAAAAAATGGTAAGGGAAGACAGTGTTACCATATTTAGCGAGAGTCATTTAAGTTGACGATATGCCAGAGACGGATGGAGAACCTTATAGAAAGAATTCTTACCGGTTTGGACCAAAATATTCTCGAACGCAAACCAAAAGCTATATAAACCCTGCTGATACGCAGTCAGTCAGAGTCAGTCGAGTGAGTGAGAATCTAGCGAGTGAGTGAGAATTTAACGAGTGAGTCAGGTAATAGTTAGTGAGTGAGTGTCTCGTAGTCTAGCAGCGAGTTGTTCGTCAGTCTCTAGAGCTGATCGCGAGTTAATGCCTCGTCGAGTTTTATCTTGAGTGTGTTGAGCTCCGAGAACGATAGAACGAGTCAGGAGCTGTACTTCAGTCCTTATCGTCGAGTGCATCGCGATTTGCAGCTTGGAGAATCTCGAAAATACGTAGAGTTCCGTGATCGACTGAACCGAGTCGGGAGCTGTACTCTAGTGCTTTGTCGCGAAGCTGTCTCCATCATTATAGCCTGAAGCCTGTGTTGCTGATTGTTTAGCTTGTTTGTCATAGTTTTTCGACGACTGTAAACGTGTTTTTGGAGCTGCCCTGAGTAATACAGGTTTATAAATTGTGTTTTCATTCTTCATGAAGTGTTGTCGTTAATCAATCAAAATCCACGAATCCGTGCAAAAAACGCAACAATATTGTTAACGGAGTCCACTATCCTGCTTACAAGCTCGATTCGAACACTGGGTAAACTCTATATTGATGCTGATTTTGTCTGCAGTGAATAAAAGTAGAAATGGAATAATTTTCTCTGATATATATAGTCCCTAAAGTTATTTGTAATCAGAGGTTTGTTGTTTGAAAGCTGCATGTTTTAACTATCATTTGTTGTTCTAAATCTGTAAGCTTTGTTTTCATGCAATGCGTTATCCGCTCGCCTGCTGTTGAAACTTTAGGATTAGAGAACAAGTCATTAAATAAATTTTGTAAACTTTTTAGATTCATAACTTAGCAGTAAAGAAGACTAAAGTTTAATAAAACTGATACGGTGTAAGTCATTTGGATTTAAATAACAGAATCAAATAATTAGGTTTGATAACTTTCTTTCCAATGATTTATCAGATATAGAGAGCAAATTTCAGTCTAATTATTTATCTAATCAAATACACGTTTTAAAAACTTATTTGTAAATGAAATCATTGCAGTTAACTAAGCAAATGATTACAGAAAAGCATACAAGAGTTATCCATTTCGGACATTCTTCTTTTTAGAGAAATGTTTTTTTAAGATTGTCGACTCGTACTGTCTTAGATATTGTGAAAATGGAAATTTCTCACACCACGCAGCGCATTCATCAGGGACGATTGGAAAAGAAGGAGTTGCCTAAAATTTGCACAAATTAGCTGAAAATGACTGGGTGGAAAATTAATACATATTGGAAAATCATGATAATGTAACCTGCATAGAAGTAACGTGTTAATGTGTTTTTCGCATCAATAATCTGTTACCATTTTTGTCATCAGTTCATCTCCTCGTGTTTAGCCATCTTGTGATGAACAGAAGAATGTGTGTAAAAGAAATGTCTGCACGTATGTAAAGCTCCATCTGCAATATGTGTGATTAACGTACGAATATTTCCAGCAAGCAAAGTGCACGATGTCAATAGATTTAAAATTCATGTTCTATCTTCAACAAACGGCGCCGTCTTGTCATTCTTGTCGTTTTTCCGTATTTATGTTCTTGTGTTTTTAGTGTTCATCTATTTCCAGTGTCTTGTATTTGTGTGATATGCTAGCAAATTGAATATCTAACCCAGATTAAATATGAATAATTAATTCAATAAAGTTAGCTTAAGCAGACACGTTGTTCTCTGAAGACCTTTTGACATGTTTACGGGTAAGTGAAGTATTTTATTACTTTTTTTAAAACGCAATGTACTACCTAGTTTTTTCAGGCCAGCAAATATTGGGCACGTGAAAATTGATTGAAAACTTGTAGATATCTAGTTAAGATAGATTCTCACACCCGCAACACCACAGATCTAAACAAAATGGCAAAAGAATTTTACATCGCAGTTTTACAATCCATTTTGACTTATTGCCTCATTTCTAAAGTCCGATTCCTTCAATGTAACTTTCTTTTCAGTACGAAACGAATTTAACACATAAAATGGTTTAATATGTATGATATTATAAGATATTTTCTTCCTCCTTCCAGTATGCTTTCGTGGTATAGCGATAGCACACTAAGAGCGTTTTCGAGGGGTCCAGGCTCCAGTACAGGATTGCAAATTTCTGATTAAAAAAAAAAAAAAAAAATTCATGACTCTGCAAGGTTTCTATTTTTGTGTTATTCTTGTTAAGATACATGCCTGTAATGTTTGAATAATTGGATAAATGCTTTAGCGTATGTTTAAAAAGTAGTTACGTAACCAAAATTTAGCAATGCTTCCTCGTTCCGAAATTTCTTTAGCGGCGCTCACCAGTGGGCGCTAAAGCTAATTGCGTTATTGCGGCTGCGTTCAGACGGCGGCATAAATGTCACAGAAGCATAGCTGCAAGGAATAAAATGCGGGAGGTTCGTTCACACTGTGACACAAGGCCTAAGCCGCATCCACTTAGAGAAACTAAATGTGTGCATGCGTTGGATATGTCTACAGATTTCCTGCTCTCTTTTCCCATTCCGGTTTCGGGCATTCGCTCTGATTGGTCGAAGCTTATCCCAAGTCGGCATAAATTTGAAAACTTCGAACTTTATCCCAAGAGCCCTAAACCAGATTTTGTGACTGTGACGTAGCACAAACTGGTTGTTGGCAACGCAGCTATACTTATGCTCTTTATACTGTCGTTTGAACGCAACTTTAGAGACCTATGTTTTGCAGAGAACCAGGTTTCATTCTTTGTTTTCAAACAAACTTCTACCTTTAAAAATTAATGTTAGGTTAAATTTTTTCTATTAAATTTAATATTGAAGTATTATTTTATAAAATATTTAAATATAAAGTGTTTGATTTGATGAAAAAACAAATTTTACTTCTGTTTTGATTTCGACAACATTTATAGATTAGTCATGTGCTTTTCTTTCATGGCTTTAAGGTTATGCTATGAGACAAAAAAATTGACATAATTTCTAATAAATATGATTTATAATATATATCTAGCTTCTAATTTTTATAATTATTTGCATCATTATTGTAATTAATGGAATACATTTTGAATGGTATATTGATATGTACCTCAGTATAAAATCATGGTTTGAACGCCGAAGAACAACGAGCTTTTTTTTATTTCATTTAATTAATTATTATTATTATTATTTTTTCAAAATTGTAAAAGTTAAAATGTTGCGTTAAAAGTAATGAAGGAACATCGAAACACCTTCCTCCATTTTCGACACTGTAAATTTTAAAGTGATTATTCATCTTATTGTAATGAATTTAAAATTTCAGAACTTTTTTATTTTGGCTTTATTCGTAACTAGCATTCTTTTTTTAACTTTGACAGCTGAATCTTTCGCCTTTTAATTTTTTTTAGAATCATCTGAAACTTCCTGCTTAACAACTTTGTCAGTGGTGCAGCTTTTACTCTGTTCCTGTTAGATGCGTGGAAAATTCTGTTATGAGCCTTTATAATTTTTCTTTCGATAAAGACTTCTAAAGAGGGCTGAAACTTCTGCTGTGTAACAACAGCGGTTTAATAAAGCTGGACAGAGTTTAATGAAACTGTAGTCTGGCATAATCTTGTTCGTGCTAGTTTTTACGCTGAATGCTTTCATTTGTTTACTGCTATAATTTTATTTTATTTATTTATTTTTTTTTATTGAATGAAGTAATGCGTATTTCCTATTGCTGTATAATTCCGTATTTAACACAACATGTCCTAAGTAGGACCTTACGTCAGTAAACCAAAAACAAACCAAACAAGACTTATAGATATTTGACGAATTTTCACTGTAAAAGAGCAATGAATGTTATATGCTGCATGGTCATTGAGAGACGAAATGCATCTCAGTTTTCGACATTGAAAGAAATTTTATATGGGAAATCCACCATCTAAATGCACTATTTAAAATGTTGTAGAAGTGTTTATTTTGCAAACAAATTTTGAAAAAAAAAAAAGTTTACTTAGCACTGGAAATAATTTTATGTTATAGATAATGAATTTCACTTACCTGGCTTGACGTTCTCCCAGTGAATGTTGATGTAGTCATCTCTATCGGAACGACTTTGTTCATGGTAAAATCCAATCGCATGTGTTAGTTCGTGAATGACACTGCCTATTTTATAGCAACCATCTCCGAGAGTTACTTTACGAATTCCTCCACTACCTTTTCCTACTTTCGCACTACATCTAGGACAGGAAAAGGCAATTAATTTTAAGTTTGAATCATTAAAAAGTATTAATATTCATCACACAAAAGATTAATCCATTTTAAAATTATATTGCAGTATTATTAAACTATACTGCAATCTAGTTAAAGCAAAATATTTATTCTTGTTTTCTTCAAGTCATCATTTTATTCATGTACATAGTATTCAAGTATTAATTATCGTAATGCTAGAATTTGTTTCTCAACTCTAATATTTAGTATGATTTTGCAGCATGCCAACCGGCAAAGGAGTAACTAAAGCTAGTCGTTCGTAATAATTTGACTCCTATCAGTTATTTATCCTTTATTCATTTTCCTTTATAGTGAATATTTTTCCGAAATGTCCAGGCGCGGTAAGGTAGCTTCCCCGTAAAGCAGTTTTTAGGGTTGCCATTAAATGGCAAGGGAAGGTAGGGTTGCCACATTTAGCAAGAAATCGTCCATTTGGCGATATGCCATGGACGGATGGAGAACCTCCTGGAACAAATTCTTACCGGGTTAGTCCCGAATGTTCTCGAACACAAGCCAAAAGCTATATAAACCCTGCTGGTACGCAGAGAGAGTGTGCGTCTCGTTAGTGTCGAGTCAGTTAGTCCGTGTGGAGTCGATCGAGTTGACAGTCGGTCAGCGAATGCCGAGTGAGTCGTCGAGTGCACCGAAAGAATCTCCTAGTGTATCGCGGTTAGTGCATCGTTGAGAGAATGTGTTGAGCTCCGGGAACGACTGAACCGAAGAGTCGGGAGCTGTGCTCTGTGTGTCGTCGAGTGCATCGCGAATTGTAGCGTGGAGAGTCTCGAGAGTACGTGGAGTTCCGAGAATGACCGAGCAGAGTCGGGAGCTGTACTTTGGTGCTTTGCAGCGAAGCTGTCTCGACCGTTATAGCCTGATAGTGTGAAGGCTGTGTCTCTGATTGTGTCAGTGTGTTTATAGTAGTTCTTCGACGAGTGTGAAACGTGATTTTGGAGCTGTGCTGATTAATATTGGCTAAATAAAGTGTGTTTCGATATTCCATCAAGTGCTGTTGTCGTTATTCACTCCAAATCCACACGAAACCCGTACAAACGTGAAGGAAGAAAATAACGTAACAATATAATGAGCACTTTCAAAGAAAAGTTGCCTCATATTCATACTAAATATATATAAAATGAATACGAGGCAGCGTTCCTTAGAAATCGCACCAAAGGCATCCTGTCTAATATAAAAATCGTTGAGTGCTTTGCTATATAAACTACAAATCAACCAAACACCTTTGTTGTTTATTATTTAATTCATGTTTAGAGCACTGCTAAAAATTATTGTTGGAAATCTGCATTTCTTACTCGCAGCGACGGTGAAAAATGACGTCATGAAGCTTTGCTATTTTAGCGGGAATTACCGCGAGTGGTTCTGTACCTTAAATTTCGTGCTTCATTCTCTTCATTTCCTCTTTCGCTCTACAAAACGCAGATGACCTGTTTTGTTTTCGTTGTATCTGAGTTTTCAAGAAGAAGATTCGTAATTCTGATGGAGTTAAACTTTCCTCGACTGTACATCAGCACACAGTACAACACTAGCAAGAAATTTGTAAACATGGAATGAAGATATAAAAAGATTAATTACTGCGATGATAAGCTAAATACAATCTTTTTTAAAATTATTTTATCCTGCCGTTTCCTTCTAGCTGTGAGGAATATTAAAGCTGAAAAATTTAAGTGTCAATAGGAGATAAAGAAGCCATTTTGAATTTTAAAATAAAATACAATTATATCTTACGCAAATTAAGTCATTTAAATTTTTATTTAAATAGCTAATAAATTAATCAAAGTATTGAAAAATAACGAATTCAACTCTAGACTGCTATTAGCTTCATAGCAAGTTGATATGCATTTAAGGAAGTCTAGGATGGATCAGTTTTCTTCAAAGAGAAAGTATCATTCTGCGCCATTTTGCTGGAAATATCTATTTAAATCTTAAAATTTACAGAATTTTTTTCCAATGCTTATTTCTTTCTTTCTTAATTTAAATGACGTCTTTTTGTCAAAATGACAGCCAATTTCGCTTTAACTGTAGTAATCTCTAACATCTAGCAAACCGGCGCAGGGTTTTTTTGTTCCTTAAAAAACACAAAATTAATTTTCGAAGAAAGTAACTACAAATCTGAAAGCACATGAATGTTTACTGTTGGTGTTAAAGAGGTAATATCTTAACACACAAAACACTAACAAAAGCTATAAATAAAAAGAAAGCTGAATTTCTACCAATATTTAAATATCTGTATGTTTCCATGTCTGAGAAGGTCGCAAAATCATTCTTAAGAATTTTCATATAAACTATCATAACCATAACAAATTCCTTGGCATAAATAATATATATTTTTACAGAAAGTTTATCGTCAGACACATTAAAAAAACTAAAAATTGTAATTTAAAATAATTTGAAGCTGCGACAGTAAATCATCTTTACATGCAGATATGTTTCATTTATAATTTCTTTCTCTAAGATTGATTAAAAGGGAAAAAAATGGCAACCATTTATAAAATGTAGGCGTTTAATTTCTTTAAAACAAAAGTGTAAATTAACTCAGTTTTACCAAACGACTAATTTTTTCTGTTACTATAAAATGTTGCTAATTTTTGCCTGTAACTAATTGACAGCATAATCAAATATCAGCGTGAAGATATATTAATGAATAGTTAGTCAAATTTAGTCGTACTTAGTCAAAACATATCGCAAAAGGTAATCAGTTATTAGGCATCCACAGACCAGATGATCATGAAATAAGTGTAACTTCTCTTATAATGGAGTCATTAGCGACCACATGGTTTAACGAATCGGAAAGAAATTGAATTGCAAGACACTACTCACATACAGGGCGTAACATAATTGCGCGTACATATCAAAAACGCAAAATCCTCCACTGGCATTATTCATGCAATTCAAGGAAATCACAGGCAGCACTCAGACAATTCAAATGAGTTGTGTACTAGTAACAGTTAGACTCACTGCATCGTGCAAATTATTAAGTTCACAATGTTGCATATTTTTTCTTGATCCTCAGTTGTCAATCCCAAACGTTTTCTCTATTGAATGCACTTGTGCTGTTCTTAATATATGCACAATGCTACAGGCATCATTTCAACGCTGTTTATAGTTTTTGACTATGCCGATTCTATTATGATATGAGAACATGGGTTGTAACTATAATCGTAAGAGTTCAAATATTGCTATTCACATCATTCTTGAGCGCATACCTTACAACTTTTGCATTTCAAGTTTCATTTCAATTTGTTGAAGAGTAAGTTCGCTAGAATATATAAAAAGTATTTTATGTCCATGTATAGCTACAAAACAATTTAATCTATCGAAGAACGATTGAGCTTTGCAGTATTTTGAAGCTAAAAATACTTTCATGTACATCGTTATAATGCCATTGCTTTCAGGAGAAAAAAGAACCAAACTATTTAATCCAGTTGAATATGAATCCAATTAAACAATTAGATTGTTTAAAACCAAGCTCTTGTTAGGAATACAGCACCTATGGTATTACAGATGTGGTGGCCTAGCTTTCACCTAGATCTGTTAAAAATATAAGTATTTCCAAAGAAATAAAACTTGTAGTTAAATTATTATAAATATTTGTAATTCAAAAACATACTAAAGGATTTTTTTTTATTTTTAACATTATAGAATGCCTAAGCTAGGCTAACATCTTAAAATACTATATGCATGATAAAGTTTGAAACAAAATATAACTTTTTCTTACCCATCGCCAGTTTCAATATTAATGTAGTCCATTTCAATAGTTCTGGGAACAAACTGAATACAAGTATTATTTTGAATGTTCTCCATGGCTTGCTTTATTAGCGGTATCTGATCAGCTGCGAAAAATATAAGGTAATATGTTAGTTGCAGAATTTTACTAAATCATATCAAAAAAGTATTTAAGGCTGCTCCTAATTTCAATATTCCTAGAAATTAAAAGTTTTTAAAGTACTATTCATTGGTCCTTCACCTTAATATTTATTAAAATTATGTTTACAGTGTTTCACAAACTTAGCCATATTAAATAAAAGCAAGCAAAAATAAATATAAGCAAAAGTTTCTTTAAAAAAAGTAGATCTGGAATAAAAAAAAGTGAATCTAGATTAAGTGATAGCTAAAAAATACGCAAATAAATTGTTGTTATGGGTTATTAAAGATTTAAATGTACAAATATGTGCAAGCATGCTTGGTTAAATATGTAAAAAGAAGGTAAATAGTAAAGTATAATCCCACACGTATTTTCAAGTTCTAAAAATTGGAATTAACTTAAAAATATAATTTTAAAACATAATTTGGAAGTTCTTATTATTACAATCCTCATCTTCCTGTTATTTAAATCGCACAATGAACCTTCTTGTCAATCGACAGCGCCAAAATGGCAACTCTGCTCAAACAACAAAAAGGTGACAATTCTCATAACGGACGGAATGTTCGTTATTATAGTTAGGATTGCCGGTCATTTGGCGAAGGTAAAAATGGGGCATAATAATAAGTGAGTAGCTGATAAAATAAAATTGTAAGAACTTATTAATCAAATAAATCCCAGCAAAATCCCCTGAAAGATATTGAAGACATATTCGAAGAATATTAGGAATATAGTAGACATATAAAGGGAATAAAATAATCTTAACCTTCAGACATTTAAAAAATTCTAAAAAAATTAGGGAATATAAAAGAAGGAAATTAAAGACTTCAGAAACTACCAAAGGGTTATTTCATAGCTAATTTATGTCGTTAAAGGAAGAGAAATCAGTCATTCAATTTGAAAACTTTTATACACGTAGTTTCTATGGTTACAGCCGAAAAATCGTAAACGAACATGCATTTACAAATTTAAAACCTGAAAGCGCATGTGTGCGATATTATCGTCATGCGATGATTTGCAGGTATTTTATTTTTTACCACAATATTTTCGACGACGATGTTTTTAAACTGCGAAGTTTTTGAGCCGCTTTATTTTAGACCACGATGTTTTTAGAACTGCGACGTTTTCTCTTTGCTTTCTTTTCTCCCACGATGTTTTGTACCGCGATATTTTCGCCTTGCGTTGTTTTGAATTTGAGTTTTTAAATCCGTCACTGTTAGCAGGCCATCAATCGATTTTGTTTTTTACCAAAATCGAAAGCTTAAAAATTGAGTTAGTAATTCAGATCAAACTTAGTTGGAAGATTATTTTACGATTTGTTCTGTGAAGATAGACTGAAGTTTTGCGATTAATACTTTTATCGTTAATGTAGGATATTACAAAAAAATTCACACACACACACAAATCTCTTCATTATTAACTAAAAAGAATTATGCATCAAATTTTGAAAATATCACTATCAGATTTTGTTCTGTCCTCGCAAATACGCATTTAGGTAAATTTACCCAAAACATTGGTTTAGTAGAAATAACTCAGAATTTTATTTCAAGATTTTGCGAATAAGGCAAATAAAGAAAAGGATCTAAATGATACAGTATAAAATGATATACAGTTTTTATTAATGATGTAGTATGCTATCTAGTTCTTTTTTCTTTTTATTTAGTTGGTTTCAGAGTTATTGTTGGAACTGGATTGAGATTAGTAACTACTGCGATTTTTTCTAAAATATTTTCCAAAAGATAAATTGGTAATTTAAAAAATAAGTAATTTTTGGAATTTAATGGTTTTTTTTAAGTAGACTGACTACCTTGACTAAACATTCAACCACTATATTTTTAACTCAGTATGATTATTCAAAAAAGCCTGGACTTAGATTCATTTAAAACTTATAATATTATAAAAAAAGGGCTGATGTTCAGAAAATAGAGCATGGATCATTAAAATAAAGTAAAAGTTCTCTGTAAAATTATTTTGGAGCATTTTAAAAGCAATTCTTCCAGTTATGCATATTCTTAAAAAAGGTAGATCGCACACTACATTATTTCTCAGTTCTTTATGCATTAGAGCTATAAATGTATTTTGTCATCATAATTTAATCTGGGCTGTAATAAAAGAAAAAGGTTCTGACTTCACGATCAAATTTTTCAAAGAAGAGTTTAGCATAAAAAACTTCGAAAAATTAAAATTGTGAAACATCAATACGAAAAGGGGAGAGGGGAGAGGGGAGAGAAAAAAAAAGATTTTATGCTACACTTTCTACAACATAAATTGGCAAAGACGTCATTTTTTGCTAGGCAATTAATATTAACTAGAAGTAAATCGCTTAGTTATTCCAGAATTTGTGAATATGTTTAAGACAATTAAAAAAATAGAAGAGAAGAATGTTATATATTTTCTTAACTGTACACGGTTAATATTACAGAGTGCTGCTTCAGCAGCAGTAAATTGTAATTAACGGATTTTAGAGTTTAACAAATAGAGAGACAGTTAAATTTTGTCATGATAGGCAAGACAAGGAAAGACCATACGGCCATACTTTAATGGAGGATAAAATGTACTATTAAGAGTTAATTATTGAAATCCATCGCAAATTGTTAAAAAATATAGAACTGCAATATCATACTTATGGGAAAACAGGAAAAGAAAGTATAGTAAAACGAAAATCATTTCATCTGAGAAAAACGTAACAGTTCGACAAAACAAATGTTACCTAATAATAATTTATTCAATAACATAAAGTAATAAATTTTATTCATTCGTAAAAGTACTAAAATGCTACATACAATTCTGAAAAGAGTTTTGGGTTAAATAATGCAAGTTACACATGGTATAACTGTTGAAAATGTCGTTTAATTACATTTGAAGAAGTTTAAGTGTTACACTTATTACATTTTAATCACGACCTATATGAAGTTCCTTCAAATTCTGCATCTATCGGGTAATTTGTTATTACCTATCAAAGCTAGAATACTTACACTAAAACCATTTTTAGCGTTAATGGCTTTGGTTTTTCAATGTATTTTGATATACAGAATTATCTTATCGGGGGTGACATAGAAAAATTTCTTTAATTCAAGAAATGCCAATCAAGTTACACAATAATGCGTCGAAGTTATCAGGTAACTAACTACCTATGCAACAAAGAGTGGCAGAACTGTAAAACAATCCTCTCAGTTAAAAGAATTCATTTTATGATTCTTCATCATAAAAGGAGAGATGTTACAATTTATGTTAGAAAGATGTTACATCATATAGTGTTAATTGCATCCGATCAATAGGACGTGTTGCCTCTGGAATAAAAAGTTGTAACTAACGGCTTATAGCTGGATTGTTACAGAAGTATTCTCATAATAATTAAGATATTTTTTCAGGCTAATAAGTATATGTGTTTCTTGATGAGTGTGTTTTAATATTTTAGTCATAATGAAAATGAAAATTTGTATTAATAATCTTATAACAGAAAAGGCGAATGTGTGGACCATGGCCGGAGTCAGCTGATTAGTTTATAGAGCGTTAAGTGTTGCCACACATTGTTTTTCATATTCACTGTACTATTCATATTTGAGATGTAAATTGATGAAAGTAAAATATTTTGCTACAGATATTTTGACCTGTAAAATTTGAAGTTGGAAAAAAGGTCCCTTTTTTTTTTTACTTCTCTTATGTTTATTCACAAAGTTCATACAAACTGTTAAAATACACAAAATACTACTCACTATCTGAAAAATTGGAAAACATCAAAATGTTTAATTTAATAATTCTTTGTTTTGAATCTGTGGATGGAAACGATTTGTAAAGCCTTTTAAAATGGAATCCTAAGTTTTAATACTTTTATTTTGAAAAACAGGTAAAATATTATTTTTATATGTTTAACATTGGGAATTTTAAGAGACCAACAATACAATCCGTAGGATGTTATAAGCCTTAAAGTTATGATCTCGAATTTTAGTACATATAAAGAAGTTTGCATTTTGATGTTAGTTTTTCGCTATAATGAGATTAATGAGTTTAGAGGCATAAGTTGCCTACTTTAATTATTACTTACATTAGTTATTACTGATAGTTATATTATTCTTAGCGTTAGCAGCGACATCAACATGTTGGTTAATATGATTCAGAAAGGCCAAGAGGAAAAAGTAAGGAAGAAAATAGAAGGGTGAAGAGAAAAAGCAATTTTAATTTAAAGCATTATTCAATTCATTAGATAATCGGGGGCTTACTAATTAATAAATAATTAGATCAATATTTTATCAACAAATATAATTTTTTCATAACATTATATATTTGCTTTTAAAAAATAATTCACTTTTTATCAGTTAAAATATTCTAAGATCCTCGTGTATGCGCACTTACAGTGCATTAGAAACCCAGACAAAGCTAACTGATAAAATGGCGCACTGCGTGTGTCAAAATTTTCTATAAACTTAACTTAGAGGCAGGTCTAGTAACGTGACATCTTTAATTAATAACAACAAAACTGTAAGTGTTAATAAACATTTTTAGTTAACTGTACTATAAATCAAATACATTTTAATTAGATATTTCACTAAAAAATGCAAAAGAAAGATTTAAATTATTAATATGTGCGTTTATCTTTTAAATCGCTGCTTGTAAACCGTCTACTTCAGTGAAAAGGATTAATTAAATTTGAAAAGTAAAATAAAGATCTGTTTCTCTGCCAAATGGCAACTCAATGATAGCCAGCTACATGCGAAAACGCGTGAAGCATACATATACGAAAAGTTTTTGTTTCGCGCTGTGGCAATGCACTGAAGTAGACGTTTTAATTAACAACAGACTGACTGGAATTGAACCTATGCTTTGTCGAATAGGAACACTGTGAAAATCCGATATGTATGAGAGCGAAAAAGATAAATATCTTGTACTTTCAGAATGGCAACATTTACTTCGGATTGCTTCTTTGTTCTTTACATACCTTAATTTTATTGGTACAAGATTTTTTTTATATTACGTGAACAACTATTTTTCATTTACACTTACTTTTCTATTCTTCAGTACTTGAAATAACGCATATTTGTTTTTATCACTTTGATGAAAGTATTATCTTCTCGTCCATTCAGCTTTCCTATTCGACTCATCATTTCTTAACTAATTTTTTTTTACTCTTTCTAACTAACTGTAAAGTAACTATATTTTCGAATTAAATGAAGGAAAATTAAAAAAATGCAAGACTTTGAGTGACACACTAACGTAGTGTACCCTATATTGTGATACTTAGGTATTATTCTGGGGTTTGACTGCCTAAGCGGTACTTCTCAGAGCTTCAGAATTCTTTACGAAGTCTGAGATTGAAGTGTACCTGAATATATTTTCCCAGAGAATTTCCTTAATTTACAAATACAGTAAACCCTTTCTTCGTCATACGAATTTATAGCATGTATGCTGCCGTCGGCTGGATGTGTGTGTCATGGCACACACGAGAGCAGGACAGGTGAGGATCAGTTTGCGTTTAGAAGAACCTGCAGGATCGCTTTATTTCTGTCTTTGCTGTGTATGTAATATAATTGGGAAAAATTGTAAAAGATATTCTCATAAAAAGTTTGAAAAGGGTAGAACGAAATTTTAAAAGAGGACAGTTATATCCGTTGGATTGTGCATCAAGATGTTAAGAACTGATCTGATGAACTGAACTGATCTGATCTGATGACGATAACATCTAATGTTAAGAAACCTGCTCTGTCTAATAAGGATTAAAAGCATAAAGAATATACTTATAAAGAACTACTAAATTTTCATAGATGTATTTGTAAAGTAATGAAAGTAATTTTTTCACTGAATAGTTATTGTATAATATTATTTTAATGCTACTTAAAAACTCAGCGTGTTGTTTGTTTTGCTTAGCGGCGGAGAACTATATGAGAACCATCTTATAAGGAGAATAATGCCTTTATGGAGTACTTTCTACAGAAAACTAGCTCATGTTAAACATTCATACATGCTTTGTACTTACTGAGATTGGAACTGATGACGTAAGGTATTCTGCCCATCGACCATAGTTTTGTCTCTCCCACTATGGCGTTGCGGTTATCCTGTGCAAGAAAATAAAATGTTAGAGCAATTAACTATATGTATAGTACTGAATGTGCGGTCAGGCGAAACACTGCCTGTCCTGGAGGAAAGCAAGGATTTGCTGTCTGAAAACTTCATCTCGTACATTAGGAAAAGGCAAATGTGTGTGCCGTAGCCGTGGTCAGCTGATCAATATTCGCGTTTACAGAGTGTTTAAGTGTTGACTTACTTTTTTATCCGTACAAATTGTTACTTGGAATTGCAAAAAAAGATTTCAACTTTCTATTTAATTTTTGCTTTTCTTTGATGTTTATTCAAGTTAATATAAACAGTTAATACACAAATATACTAATAAATCGGAAAACATCAGAATGCTTAATTTCATAATTCTTTGTTTTGAAACTGTGGATGGCAACGATTTGTAAAGCCATTTGAAATGGAATCATAAATTTTAAAATTTTCATTTTGGAAAATAGATAATATGTCTTTTTTAATTTTTAAAACTATGAATATTAAGGTTCCACGATACAATAAATAGGATGTTATAAACCTTATTATTATGATCTAATTTTACGATTTGCATTCTGTGAATTGTTTTGGTGTTAGTTTTAAGATACTATGAGATGAATTGAGTTTTATGGTGTGATTTTTCTACTTTAGTTATTTTAGTTATAATCTATCGTTGTTATTATTCGTAGCGTTAGCTATGACATAAGGATCTTCTTTAATATAATTCAGTAAAGAGAAAAATTAGAGAAGAAAACAAAATATGTATGGCATGGACGGGTAGCTGAAGTTGGCGATAATAAAAAATAACAATTACGTACTTTCTTATTTAATAAAAAAAAAAAAAAATAATAAAACCCTCAATAATATATTTTATTTTAAAAAGTTTTTTTTTTTTCCCCTTGTGTATGTGTTTGCTATTTTTGTCATTTTGAGTTGTTAGAAAGGATTGTAAGCTCGATACCATTTGAGATTACAATAAATATCCCAAACATAAAAGGAAATAAAAATTAGAAATAAATAAATGAAAAAGACTGTGTTTGAAAAATATGCATATTTTTGTAAGAAAATGAGAATAATTTGACATTTTTATTTTAAATCAGTACAGACGCCTTCAGCTGATCAGTGTTTATATTTACCACTATTGTTTTCGAAAATGAAAGTTTAAAACAAAATCTGAGTGAAATCATTAAGTGATCAAACATTTTAGTTCTCTCAGTGCGCTTGATGAGTTAACATCAACAATGAACTGTCAAAAACGTTTAGTTCTCTCAGTGCGCTCGACGGGAATTAACATCAGTATTAACACATCAAAAATATCAATCGAGACAGATCATTGGGGATCGAAAACAAGGGCTGAACGTAGTATGGCACATAAGTACATTGGTTGGTTGTTTTAATTTAAAGTATTATTCGATTCATTAGTGAATCGGATTCTTCCTAGTTGTAATATAGCATTTCGAAGAAGAGTAAAATTAGTTAATTCGAAAATTAAGAACTTTTAAAAACTGAAAACATGTAACACATTTAAAAAATATTAAAATAATCATTATAAGAAGAGAAATCATTAAAACCAGGAGAGGAAGCATAAAAATCAAAACATTTAAATAGAGAAATCATAACTGAAAGAATATAAATAATACACACATATAAGGCAATTAAAACTATACAAATAATACACTATTCATAAAAATGAGGACGCGATAACTTTTATTTTATTGCTGTTCTTGACCTACATTTTTCCCAAAAAGATTTTGTCAAAGTTGCAGATAAGAAAATATTCCTCTAAGGTTGTTAGGCGTTATGTTTGACGTTGAACCTTAACCGAATGAAGGAATTTCCAAACATGTTAACGCAACGAATTGTTTTTTGAAAAGATGTTGGATTAATTCTTCACTTCCTTCTTTATCTCTGTTACTAATGCACATGTGAAAATCTATTTCCGAGCACTTCTTCGGCTACGCAAAATTTATTAGATCAGCATCGCAGTTTACATAAATAAAGTAATGTCTGCTATGATAATATTTGAGTTATCATCATCTACGCAGATAATTTATTATTTTTCCATAAATATTGTCTCTTAATTCTAGCGCTGAAAAAACTCCTTTTTGTGAAAAAAGTTTTGATTGCTTCTGATTTTATTTAAGTGCGATTTATCACTTCAAGCACGCTTATCTTATTCTTCATAGTAACCAAATGCCTCTATCTGAAAATTGTGATGCACTTGTACAGTTTGGTGAAAAGAGAAACATTTCAAATATGTATGTAAAATTTAATGTTTTAATATATATATATATATTAAGGAAACAAATCTTTGCTGAGAATAGTGCAAAAATCTGCGGTTTGCTTTGTCATCCCGTTTCCCATTTTCTTGAGCCATTCTATGAAGATTTACATGGTCATTCCCTTTTTGTAATAGCTACATAGCATAATAAAGTAAGGCTTAACAACTTTGAAAACATCTTGGTTTTTGTGACTTGCCTGTAATAAGTACTATATTTTCCATTTAATTAGCATTCGTACATAATAAAATATTGAAATAGTTTTTACTTGTTTTCTCTCTATTACCATGATCGTCTATAAATGCTAGGATTCTTGTATGAGATGATATGAGAATGAGATGAAAGAAGATGAAATGTGTTAAACGAGATGAAATAAGAGGTCCACCATATCTACGTTAAAAGTGCTTATGATATGTTTACGTGATTCTAAGGTGCTATTAAAATTTATGCAGCCTTTGAGTTGAAATGCTAAGAGTTTTCACATTCAATGGAAATACTATTTATTTTGATCTCTTCACTGCAGCAAACTCATTCATTGGAATACTTAATGCACGACTCTGGGTGAGAAATTTTAGCAAAATCTCTTCAGGTTTTGGAAATCACTTTTTTCGAACTTTGGACATCCAAAATTTTAGAAGATTGATCTTTCTATAAGTTCTGAGTTTCTTTTATTTATCTTCTGCCAGAAACAATTGCTTTCGGGCTCATACAGCACTGTGTAACTTATGCGACAATTGTAATTTTGTCAATCCATATTAATGTCGAATTCTTTTTCAAATATCAGTTATGTCTTTCAATGAGAAGGCCTTTCCTTTTCTGTCCATTTTAACAGAGCGTGAAGTTTTATAAAGAGAGTAAAAACAAATAGCAGTTGAATTAAAGCGTATTTTTGGAATGAGATAGGAATGAAGCATCTTCCAGCAGGAAAATATTTTGATCAGAAGATATTACTTCCCTTTGTGCCTCCTTTGGTTTCACCTATTAGATTATTACTGCTGTACCAGTCTCATATATAACACGGCTTCATCCGTTCTTGTATTTATATATCCAATTTGAAAATGCTACCGAAATAAATGTCTTCGAGCGAAGCTATTCATGTTTCAAAAAGGAACACCAAGGAGGAGTCAAAGGAAAACACAACGTATAACTGAAAATACGCGAAATATAAATGAAATATTTTACTCATATGGTGAACAGGAATCAATGGCAAACAAGATAAATTTATATATATATTTAACTGACGTGGATAAATGAAAAAAGTATATACGATCTTTTAATGTAATACAATCATTCTTAACTGCCAACCAGTAAATAATTCGAGTGTTAATATTGGTGAGTTATTGACGCTCAACGAATTACTTTATAAGTATGTAATAAATAATCCATTTTAATATATAAAAAATATCAGATTTTTAAAAAAGAAGGACTGTAACTTTTATTATCTATATACTTTAATAAAATACAAAAATAAAAGATATACTGCTCCTGGTAAAATTTCAGCAATAAATTTTAGTGGACTTAAATTTTATAAAATAATAACACAATTAAATCTTTATAAAAAGAAACATTTTTTAACATCTTGTGACTAACCTTCCACCACGTACAGACTACCAATTATACAATCAAGTACTTACCACTTTAGAGGGCTTTTCAATTCAGCTTTAATAACAGGTCTCATAAAGTAGGTATCCGAATGCGCATCACTTACTGCATGAATTTTTAAATATGATAATACATGCAAATGAATAAAGTCAGATAAAAGGTACATGCAGCTGCATTCAACTCAGATAATTTTAGTGAAATAAATCAGGACAAGCTATGCTTATGCCATTATTTTATGTTTGTCTCCAACTGTCTCTCTGATTATGTTGTGTAATCGTATGGAGTGAGCAATTGTGCTTTTGAAATCAATGGGAGAGAATAAAGCAAGCTTGCTAGACACTGTTTAAAGATTATAAAATTAAAATAAAGGTAGAAAAAAAGAAAAACACATGTAATAAACAATAATTATACTAAATGAATTGAAAGAGAAAAATAATAATTGCAACGTACATTGTCATCTTCAGGTATTATATCTCCATCAATCAAATTAGGATTTTCCATTACCGAATCATCTATGTAAATGAGAAAAAGAAGACCATCAGCATATATTAACTTTATATTAACTTTATATATTAACTTTATTTATTTAAATTTCATAAAACATCATTTAAATATTAGTTTCTTCTTATAATACTTACTCATTTACATCCGAAGAAATAATAAATAAACATAGTATTACGAAAACAAATATATTATACGAGTTATATCGGTGCTTCTTTATTTCATTTGTGATTTTCCAATAGTAACAGTGAAATGTTTCAGATTTTGTTCTGCAAAAGACAATAAACCCATTATAATAATCAATTATCCATCACATAATATTTAAGGCAGAAGCTCTGCTTTAGATATTATGCTTATGCAATACCATTTGTACTATTAGTTTTCTATGCTATTTGTACTTGATCAAAATTGCGTTGTGTAGATGTTGTAAAAAAGGTAATTCAGCAGTTATACCTTTCTCGTAGGTTCGAATCGGCTACGTAATCCTTTTCACATCCTATAGGACTTGCCAGTAAGTGGTCTTCCCTTATTTCAAAACTGTAACTTGAAGACATTGCTTTGCCGGTATTGTGTGATACCATTTTAAGCACAGAACCTCTCAATATCCCCAACAGTTTTGCAAATGAGGTAAGAGATAAACCAAAAACTGGGCACCAATAATCCGACTTTTTAGAACTCAATAAAATCTCTCGTTTCCTTCACAATGAGCTAAGTTTTACAAACAGCAATTGAAATTCGCGATTTTACATATGTTTCGATAATGTATATAATACATCCTTGGAGGGGGCACAAAGGAGAATTGCTGATTTTACTACATTAAAGTCAAAAGAAACAAAATTAACTTTTTAAAGTCTTTATTTGCATTATGTATCTGGTAAGCAGTATCTGGTAGTAGTGTAACCTCGTAACCTCTGTAGCATGGATTATCTGGTAACAGTGCATCTGTAAAGCTCAGTATTGTGTTCTAAATCAAATAATATTTTCTTTCCCACAACAAAACCGCGAAAATTGCTTCCAACGTTTTAATCATGTATAGTGATAATACACTTTCACGATAGCTTTTTAAAAAAAGCACTTCGTAAAATTATAGAATATTTTATTATTGACACAATTATTCTTACAGCATTCATTTTATGATGTTTATGATTAAGTTTATTTGTTTCATTTTATGATGTTTATGATGATTTATGATTATTTATGATGATATGATGATATCAATCACTTCCATTTATACGTATAAATTCAGAGAATATTGCCAGTTTGCTAAAAACCCCGTATATACTTCGTGTCTGGCTGAATCTTTTTTTTCTTTTCTTGTTAAATAACAGCACTGTGCGAATCGGCTATGAGAGATGGCATGTGGAAAATAAATTAAAGATCTTATGTTTCGCTCAATAGTAGCACTTACCAAGACGTAAGTAGGAAAACTGGTGCTTCAAGATTTCTTCCCCTTTTTCCTAGGATCTCTCGTTTACGGATTCTATTTTACCAGGACGCTATTTTATATCTTAGCGAAAACAATATACCTCCTTCGAGGTGTAAAAGTAAAAGAGAATAAATTCTACATTTTCTTGTTTCTTTGAGTATATCATAACGCTTACAAAAGTTACCTATTGCGGTTATAAACTGTTAATTATGTATTTTTTCATTGATTTTAATATTACTTAAAGGGAATTCTTACGCGAATTTCCAAAGGCTTACCACAAGGCTACCGCTAGCTCATGACCGATTGTCTGGTGACTAAATTAACATAACCTCCTCATTTGGTACTTGTTTGTGTATGTGCATATATGTATAAACAGGATTAAAGCTTTTCACCGCAAACTTCAAATTTTAGTTCGCAATGAATACAATAAATTTTCTGACCTTTATGTTCTTCCTAAATTCCATAAAACATCATTTAAATTCCGATATTTGGCCAATGGAGCTAAAAATTATAAAAAGAACATTGACTCCTTATTTGCACAACAACTTAAAAAGGTTAGGAATGCAATGTAGATCTACCCTAGCAGTGCATCCTGGTAGCGTAGAAATAAGGCTAAGTGATGTAAAAACTAGGCATGTGAAAGGAACAGCCATAAAGTATGGATAAACAGAAATTTTGACACTTTTTTATGACTCAGAAAGACATCTGTTGCTATCTTTTATGTTATTACATGTTATTACTGAGCATGTTTGCCTGTTAAAATATATGTATCGAACGAACATTTTCCCAACTCCCAATTTGTAAATTGTGCAACCTTCATGAGGAAATGGATGCTTCATTTCTAAGTCGTTGCCCTGCACTTAGTGCTGGATCACTCTGGGAGAGACATTGGTAGGCGAGACACAAAATAGATTTATAGATTATACTGTGGACTTCCTTTTTTAGTTTTGGTGCTTTTTTTTTCACCTTTTCTTGTTCTGTTTACCTTTTCTTGTTTCTTGTTCTGTAATCTGCCTTTGCAAATAATAAAGAAATGTTAATGACTTGACGTTTAAATCTGCTAGAAAAGAACACAATTTGTGTTGGAGCATTAGCAACAGCTTAACAATCACTTTTCTACTATTAAAGAACTAGAGGTTAAATTAACTGCTATGATTCTGAGAATTAGTATACTACACTTCCTTTACAAGAAATTTACAATAGTCTCTTACACCTTCCGAACGTATTTCCAGATATACTTTCAATAATAACAATAGATAAACGATAATTTACCTCAAATGCACATTTTTAACAACTATATTAAATTTAATAACATCATTTTAAAATAAATAATTAGTATTCCTATGGGCACGAAATTCTCGAAACAACTTTTCGCCTTTACTTATTTACTAAATTTAAGTTTCAGCAGTCTCTCGACCAAACAAATTTAAATCTTTTTGCAAACACCTGCAGTTATATGGATGATATTATAATATTTGATAGCTATGATGCAATAGAAAAATTCCAAATCTGTTCTCCTTGCTTAAAAATTAATAAGACCTATAATAATCAAAAGAAAAAGACTATCTCGATCTCCATATAATTAATTATAAAACAATTAAACTTTAGTCAAAAAAGTTTAATTGTTTTATAATTAAACTTTAAGAAGACGAATAGACGAATAGTTAATTTTTCTACAATTAAAGCTATCAACTGGAAATCCAATATCTTAGGACAGTTATCGTAACACAATACTCAATCAAATTAATAGATTTAAAAAAGTATGCTCAGAAGTTGATGACTTAAAGGAAGAGATTATTTTACTGACACAAGAACTTAAAAGAAAATAACACACTTGCAAATTTTATTAATAATTATCTTAAGAAGCTGGAGTTAAATATCTCATCTAATATTTAAATTAACGGGCAATGCTCTAAGCTTATCTTAAAGCCTAGAGAGGATAAGAAAGGCTGTCTGACATATTTGAAGATATGTATACATTGTAATTAAACTCTATAAAATTAGTTTATTTCATTTTTTGCATTTGCGTTTTATATCAGTTTTTCTTTTTTTATTCCCTTTTCCCTATTTTTAGTTTTAAGTATTATTCTGTATGACTGCTTTGTTTATTTTTTAATTTTGTGGTAACCAATAGTCTGCCCGGGCGTCGGAGCATTATCTCGCATACCTGAATCGATAAGATGTAATTCGGATACTCTAAATTTTAATAGAAATGTAAAATGGAAAAGGGATTTGTTCAGTTATGCAAGATGATAAAACACGCTTTTCATGAATTGCTGATGGCTGTATGAAGAGATCCCAATTCCCCTTGATAAGTCGGGATCTTTCTATGGACATTTTCTTGTCTTATTCTTCTCTTTTACATTTTTATTGATATTCCAATTACTATTTACTTGTAATTTATTACTATAATAGTGGACATTAGCTTTCTAAATTGCCAATTATTTTTACCAATATAGTGCACATTTGCATTCTAAATTTCACTTCGAATTTCCTAAGAGATAATTCCCTTTATTATTCCCTCTATTCTGCTATTATTATTTCCTCTATTATTATTCTCTATAACTTTGTTAAATAAAATATCATTTTGCAGGAATTGTGCAGGATTTTACTTTTTTACCTTTTAATTAAATTTTAAAATTCACTAATTTTAAAGTTTTTCTTATTATTTTTCTTTACACACATATATGTATATTATGATAATATTTGTGCTCTTTAGCCAATATAAATTCATAATATTTAATTTATATTTATATTAGCGATAATTAATAAAATTAATATGAAATCTATCAAATACTATATGTCATATTTATGATATATATCAAATGCCATAATAAGAAATGAAAAGTTTAATCTGTGGTAGAAAACACTTGCACATTAGTAAACAGTTCTTGAGAAAAATTGAAATAAAGTAAAGTTATCGTAACCAGTGTCTCCTAAAGAGGAAAACCATAATTGCAATTATCATGCATTAAATAAAATATAATTTGCATCAGGAAGATTTTACAAGTTACTTGCCGTCATCTTCAAAGCCATTTCCACTTGAAATGCATATCAGGGAAAACAAAATAAAAGCCTTCTGCAGCATTATGTCAGTTGACCTGATTTACGAATTCAACTGGGCAACTGGATCAAATACATGGACAATTTATGCAAAAATTCCTGGGAACGCCTCCATACTAGATCAACATTATCTCTTTTATTGGAGGTAAATAAAATGATAAGGGATATGAACTTTAAATAGTATTAAAATATCTCGAAACAAAAAAAAAAAAAAAAAAAAAGGAACTGGGTTAATATCTATAATGCAAATACTTGGGATAGATAAATCTTAGGAAAACTCAAGTATTTATTTCTATTAAAATTTTCATTTATCGACCTAACGTTTATTTCATTGTCCTATTATCCTAATAGTCCATTGCCCTGTTAGTTATCAGAATAAAAGACGGAAGTTAGGATGACTGCCAATTTCAAGTTAGCCTTGAAATTCCTGAAATGCGAAGAATTAAGCTTTGACCCGAAAGAAATTAAATATTCCAAGTGTAAAAGATTTAAAAGCTGGAGGTACAAAACGCCAAATTAAACGTCATATTTTTGCTTTTGTACCATTACTTCATATTGTGTAAAATAATTGTGCAGTATTCACTAGTTAGCTTAATATGAGAGCATGTATAAGATTCTAAGGAGAGCAGCTGCTGGGAACAAAATGCAAGTGCAGACTTTTCACATACCCCAAGGACTCAGACAGGACTAACTAAGGAATCGGGAAAGAGTAGGAACTGAGTACCTCCTGCTGAATGCAGAATATCCACAAAAGTATCAATATCCTGCTAAGAACATTAGCAGAAAATTTGTGCTATTGTATCTTTTATTCCTCACCTTTAAGTCATGCGTTAGACAATGGGCAGGTCTTACGAATAGAATAGTCTCTATCATTCATAAGAGATTCATCATCAGAATATCCTCTATCATTGTTCATCAAAACTCTTATACCATGATAATAATATGGATTTTTCCATCTTCATTCGAAATTTATTGGAAAGTAAGCAGCGACAATTTTTCACCTTTCTCGGAAACTTTCTACAATAAGAGCGGGTATCATCCTATCAAATTCACAAGCAACCGGATCATAAAGATTGAGGTCAATCACATAATGCAGGAATTCGCCTTCTGCATCTCAGGATTAAAAGCTCTACGTTAATGGCAAGGGAAAGTAGGCAGAGAAGCTGCCCAGGTGGTATAGTGGTTAGGGGAACCTACTGCGATGCTGAAGGGTCCGTGTTCCAATCCAGGGGAAGACATGGATATTTGTAAATGTATAGTATTTTTGCGGAATGGAGGCATTTTTGCGGAATGGAGGCTAGCCGAAAGTCTTCTCGAGAGGTTGTTGGTAGGGGAGGAGGGATGGGAGACCGTCGGACCCGTCCCCTCGGGGTGCTCTTCCTCAAAATTCGGAAGGAAATGAGCGAAGTCATACTGTCACCTGTATGGTGCTCAACTCTCCAGCCAACATCAGGCGCAATCTTGCTGTCCTAGTCACGATGAATTTCGTGGGGCTTGTGTTGGTGTTACTGTCAGACAAGTGAGATAAGTTACAATGACAAACATACACAACAGATAGAGATGATGGTCTCTTTCACTTTTCTAAAGACGTCATCATGATATTTGGCCTTATGAAATATTCTGTCCTATTTTTTCTTTTAATTTTCTTTGTTATTTTCTTTGTTATTTTATTAATTGATTAAAACTAGCAATTAGAATATTAAAGGGAGCTACGTAGAGTACGAAATTACGTAGAGAGCCATTAAAACCCATGCAGGCTTAAGAAAAAACTATCAATGCTATGTCGCTTTATCCGTTTAACCTCTGGCAGGACGAATTGGAAAACAGCTGAAAGAAAAAAAAAAAAAAAAAAAAAAACGCGCGCGCACACACACACAAAGTAAAGTATTCTTCTATTTTTAACTGTAAGTACTTATATTTTTCCCGCCAAGTTGAACGAATGTTGGCAAAAACTGTAGCCAATATAATTTATTTTCTGCCTTTTCCATTAAATCTTATCGCAGTTTTTTTTTTTTTTTTTTTTTTTTTTTTTTTTTTTGAGTGACTGAATAGCAGCTTTTCCTTACTGCAATTGAAAGAGTTGTGTCTTTCTTGTGGCATTATTATTATTATTATTACTATTATTTTGCTTCACACACTTGTTGAAATATAATTATAAAATTCACGTATGCCTTAATTTTCCATAGCTTCCCATATGCATTCTCTATTTCTTAAAATATTCATCCAATGAAATCTACAAAACGGGATTTTTTTCATTCATTAATCACTTTCTTAAATTAAACAGCCCGAATTCTATAATGTAAGTAAACCCATCATTTTAGAACCAAGTAAATATGTTACATCTTCCCTTTTTATGACGAGAAATCATTTTCTTTTACTGAGATGATTGTTTCATAGTCCTGCCAGTCCTTATTTATAAGAAATTCCCTGATTACTTGAGTCTTGAGCGTATTGTTCTGTACCTGGATTGGTATTTCTATAACTGCATAAATCTTCTCTTTGTGAACCCGATATTTATTACTTAAAGGAAAATGGATTAGAATACCATCTGGATGTTCTTCATGTTTATGCTTCTGATGGCATTTCTTTGCTGATATTCACCTTTTGATTCAGATGATTTCTGGGCATTAGTGTTAACACCGAAGTATGTAATGTATGTCCTTCAGCAATACTTTTGGATTGTTCAGTTTGGGTTTGAATTTTACTTAATTCAGTCTCTTTACATATTTCTATAGCTTCCTAGGCCGCCAGGTACAATCTCCGAGAGTTCTAAATTTCACTAGCCGGTGCCTCTTTAAATTCTAAAAATTCTACTGCTACTAAATTCTGACACCAGTGCATATCCCTAAATGTTGCTGCTCGGTGCTTCTGTAAACTCTAAAATTTTTCCGCTTCTAAATTCTGCCACCTGATGTTGCTGCAACTGTGGTGTTGGCCCCAGTTCTTGCCAGCTTGAAGTTCGCCTTTTCATAAAAGTCTCCCTTGCAATCCCTTGTCGAAAATATCCAGTATGATCCTGTCGCCTGCATCATATTGCATTTTCCTTTATAAAAATATTAGAAAGCAATAATTAATACGCACATTTATTTCTTAATATTCAAAATATCTTCTTAATTCGAATAAGGTTACTGTAACACTTAAAGTGCAATCTGTCAGCTTATAACGTTGCGCGCCTCCAACTTGCACGCAACCAAGAGGTGACTGTGAAAACTTGTATAAAAGATAGAAGCTTGTGAAGGGTTTAAGTCCCTTTTTATTCAACGTAATAAATTACAATTGCGTTCTCTTGACGCTTACAGACGGTGCCAACTTGGCAGTCAAATAAAAATAATAACCTGAAAAGAAAATAAAGACAAGATTCTAACTACGAGGCTCTCTAAAATAACTAACTCACCGCGTTTTACAATACCGCTGCTAATTCAGCAAACTTGAAGCTCACTGGATAGATGACCACTCCTTCCCGCCAAGCACATAGGCCGCAACGCGGGGTTCTTCAATTCTCGCTAACTACCTCCGCGCTCGCTAAGTAAGAGAATCTCTCACACCCGAACTTGTTTCCTTCTATTTAAATCAGAATACTTCCGCTGATAATTTGAATCCTTGCGCGTTCTACTCAAATTTACATATTCTGGCATTGGCAGTTCCAGGGGAAAGTAAGGCTTGACAGGAAAGATAGTTTAAACTTAAAATAAATGTTAGTTAAAATAAATATAAACCCTACATTTGCCGCTGCCAGAATTTGGAAAACTTGGAAGCAGGTCCTACAAACGACCTGTTGTAAGTTTATCTAATTCTGAACTAACTGGCGAGAACCTCGTTTAACACAAAAAAAATTCTTATGTAACAATTATATATTAAAATTCTGTTACTCGTTACAAAAGCTTTCTTCTTACAGCAACTTTTCCTGGACTTCATCAATCAATCTTGGTCTTCCTTCCAGCATCTGGAAGGAATAAGTATCAGTATCTTTCTACATACATTATAATTTACACTTTCTTGACACAATAAATTTTTGTTTTTAACGATTCGTTTTTCTTAGTTATTGCTTACTTCACATTCATTCAATTTTTCAAGCATTAATTTAACTTTACCCTGGCTCTCCACCGTGTGTGTGTGGTGTCAAACGGGAATATTCGTGTTTTAGTCTTACAACACTTCCCCTAACCACCATGATTTGTTAGAATTCAAAAACCAAATAGACACACCTTACTCGACATTCTACAACTCAATGAGCTACTTTAATATTCTTAAAAATTCAAATGTAGGTGGAGAACCCTACAAAACACATTCATTCTAACTTCCCCCTCATTCATCTTTAAACATGCAGGCTTTCGCTCTAAAGCATGACTTTACAGTTTAATACTTAAATTTTGACTTCATTGCTTTTAAGCATTCACTTTTAGCATCTACAATTTTATGCTTCTAGACTAAATTCTACTTTTACATAACATTGCAAGTATTTACATACATTTACAAAAGTTTAATACATATGCTTTTTACAATTTACCATAAAATGAATAAGAGAAATAAATTTTTACTTTACTCATTCTTCGCCAAGCTGGCGGCACTGAAACTAAAATTCTTATTAATACAAGAATACGAAGTTATTTTTATCTCCGGCCAAATTTTGGCTTTAACATAACAGAATTAGTCTTTCGACCAACAGAAAATGCTTGTTTTTAGCTTTTACACTTAAAGAAAATAATACTTTTGCCTTAGCTAAATAAAGTAAAACAAAACTAAGTCTCAACCGAGACATATTGACTTTCGTCAAAACATAGAACTTCGTACTTATGCATAACATTTCGGAACAAAAGAGAAAAAAAAAATTATAGAAGGTTTTAACTTATCTTTGAGTTTTCGATGCTTGAAACTCCGTCATCCGTTTTTGGCAAAATTGATCCCAAGTTAGAGGTTTCATGGATGTCAATCTTCTCCTTATTGATCTCCGAGTGTCGTCCACGTTGCTTTTTCTTTTGCGTCCTCTACATGCTGGCCTCTTGACGGAGTAATCGTCTGGTTGTTGGCCTTTCCGTTTTCTGCCTGGGACGGCTGGTCTTGACGTCCTCCGGTCTGGAGTCCTTCTT